CGTTTGTGATGAATAAATGCTATCGTCTTTTTTCATTAACAGTTCAACAACACATATTTATTTCTCTTTTTTTTTTATTATTATTCTATAAAGATTATTGGTTTAACTAGAAGGTTAAGTGTCGTGGGTGTAAATCAGTCAGGGTTGCCGATAGCCTCGTAACCCATAAAAAGTCCGATATTTAAAACGCTGACGATTCCTTCGCTCGTTTAAATGCCTCATTTTTACACATTCACACCGTTTGTGTTTTATTCATAGGTTCACTTTCCACATTGAATACATTAAAACTACAGTGAGGAGATACGAACGACTCAATTATTTCGGCGCCGTTCCCTGTTCAGGTTTCTTTTTATGTATAGAATAATTTCTTGTCATCTTTCGGAACGCAACCTTAAGAATCTTAAGATTTATTGTTTCTAGTCTCGAGGGTAAAAGGCGAAATCTGTTGTTTGTTGTTTTCTATTATATATATTTTTTTAATTGGTATGCGATGACGTCTGGCCAACCTCGAATTGTCATCCTGCGGGAAACGCATAAATATTCCAATAGACTTTAAATACAAGAGTATATAAAAATTGTGTATAAAATAAAATAAAACTCGTGCCCTCGTCTTCCTGACCCAATTCATATTTTTACATGCAAGCACTTCGGAATTTAATGCTCGCTTTTCGTATTATTATTTTTACGCATCATTTCTCTCACTTCAATAACAAGGTGTCAAATGGGAAAAGAGTTCTTGCGTACTGTCTTTTTCATTTGAAATGTCTATAATTAGTAACACTGCATTTTCTTATTCCGTTTTATTTATATATGTTCTTATTTCGTTTTTCCAATTTTATAGTTTTTTTTTTATTTAAACAAAATAAACTTAATTCTATATTTAATGAAAACAATAGTGGATTTAATTTAATAAATTTAATTATATCGAAAAACATTTTATATTTTTTATGTTCTTCGTTAATTATTTTTATAAAATGTATGTTATTTCATACAATAGCTTGCTATTCTATACATTTCTTAGTTATTATATAAAATATCATTATTGTATAATAAATAGTATGAAATAAATAGGAAAAAGTCGAAATTGTTACTTGTTGAAAAGAATAAGAAATAATTATTCAAGTGTAATATTTCATTATCATTTTCACAGCTGCAAATATGGACACGAAACTTAAATATTTCCCCAATTATAAAATGCTCAGTTTTAGAAAAAGTTGTTTATTTTTTCAAATTTCGGGTTCTAAAATTAAGGTGCGTCTTATACATGAGAGCGTCTTATACTTATATAATATTTATTTTATTGTTGATAATATTGCTTTAATTGTTTGGTGTAAATATATGTACAAAACTTAGATAAGAAATATTTGCGTAAACTGACCTTACGTTTACATAATATGATAAATTAAATAAGCCTGATTTGTTGAAAATTTATTGTTATTGTGATAAATAAGATAAAAATATAATTAGTTTAGATATAAGTTTTAATAGGTAAAGTAACAAGAAATTAAGTAGGGTTTGTCGGTTTTTAAAACCGGTTTATTGAAGAAATTTATATAATTCGAATCCCGGGTTTTCTAACTTAAAAACCTAGTATAAAAATAAATTAATTATTTTATTAAAAACATAAACATTTTTACACAAAATCTCCTCTGCAATACAACGAGAATATTGTTAAATAGTAAGTTTCATGAAAATTGGAAAGGAATTAAGTCTTATTCTTGACTGCCTAACAATAACTTTAGAAAAAGAGATTCGAAACCGGTATTTTTAAAAGTAGGTTTTTGTATAAATCCTAAAACTAAGTTTCATAGTATCTTATTTTCTTAATCGAGAAAAACTAGATATTTCATGAATCTATAGTATTTATGAATAATTATGAATTTAAAACTCACAGAAAATGTATGAGATATTTTTTTTTAATTTATAATATTTTACAAATATCAATAAGTTTCTATTTAAAAAAAACTTAGGGCAATAATTTACTTTCAATATTAATTTAATACATTAATTATTAATCTTTTCATTGCGTGATACATGTCATGGACTTAATGTGTGATACGTGACAAGTAGTAAATAAGTTAGTTAATAATATCGTCTGTATTTACACTAACTTAAGTTGTTTTTTTTTTTGAAATAATTTAACATTTTTTTATTGATTCAAGAAGCTATTGACCGTCATCTTTCAGTCCATTTTAATATTTAAGTATTTTGCCACAAATTTTTTTATTACTAATCAAAGAAAAGAATACAAATATGTTATACTTCGTTCGAGTATTGTAATCGATATTTTTTGTTTAACTTTCAATTTTTTTATTTTGTGTACTTTATACTAAGTAAAGGTATTATGTAATGCAGAAATAACTGGCACAGTACAGCTTCGATCAGTCCAGATTCACTATCCGAATTCACTTGATGAAATAAAAATAAATTCCTAAAAAAAATTGTACACAAAACTATTTTTTTCTACATAAAAGTAAGTTTTTTGTTCTTTATACAATCAAGTCTCTTTTTAGATAGTTTATTAAAGTCTTTAGTAGTCTTTTTGACAAAAAAAAAGAAGTATTTCAGTTCAAACTATTACATTTTCATTAATTTTTTTATTTGTCTATCTGCATGGAATAAGATTTATAAATAATACATGTGTTAAATGATAATGTAAATACAAATAGAAAACTTAATTAATTAATTGATATTTCTTCTAATTATATTTTTTATAAATAATTAATGGATTTTTAAATGTCATTCATGTGCTGTATATGAATTACAATAATTATAATGTAATCGTATACGCGTAACAATGTGCGAATGAAAAATGATCGAAAAGACACACGTGTGTGTACTGACGGATTCTGAGTAGTGTCCCAGTAGAAATATCCGCAGAAAACGCGTAGAAAACGCCTTACCTTCACCTACATTTAAATGGAAACAATAAAACATTTCATACACATATAAGTCTTAAACGACGTTCCTTCTTCTATGCTTATTTTTTCTCTCTGCATATCGAGAGCCGCGTGTTCATTTACTTATTTATTTTAATATTTATGAGTTTGCGTTATGCAAGTATACGATATTTAAATCACTTAGGGGATACGAGACACGCGTGTTCTCGAAATGATCAATGGGATTTCTAGACTTTCATCCTTCGTCCGAGCAATAAATTCAACGTTTAATTGATTAGACAATGGCTCGAACGGAGGTCCTAATCGTAAGGAGCCGAGTAAATCATTTGGACACGTCGGTAATGAGATGGCTTCTCGTGGTATTTACGAGATACACGATACTGGTATTATTTATAAATTCAGTCAAAGGTGAATCTATTCGAGTTGATTAACTAATCGGATATTTTTATAAGCAAGGTGTCCGGTTTCATGGAAACTATTTAAATACATAAATACAAACATAAATAATCATAAATTAGTGCATTTTTTTAATCTAAATGGGTTAAATATCAGTTAAAATATAAAATAATTCGCTAATACTTAGTTATTATAGGAATAAAATGTGAAATATTTCTAATTAAATATTCTTGTAAAAAGTGTTTTTGTATAACATTAATTTAGAAATTTTACTTTATTTTAGAAAATAACCAAAAATGTGTAAAAATAACTATTATATTCTGTAAAATAATTGTTGAAGACAGGTTTTTCATGAAATAACTAAGTATTATGTAAAGCCATTAACAAATTATATACCAATAATAAGCTGTTTTGTCAATATCCCGCACTGTTTGAATCCGGACAAATCAAGTACTTTAAAGCAACATAAATATAAATTAAACTTAACTGTATAGAGATAAAACTCGATCATTTATGTATAAATAAATAAGTTTTTAAACTATTTTTTTCTAATTAATTTTTATTTTGCGGACTATATTGAATCCGACTGATCAAAACCGCACAACGTGAGGTATTGCTGTATTTATTTTGCCGCTCCATATAAATTTAGCTAAAACATTTCAAGATATAACATCTTGCTTTTATGTGATTTGGCGAAGAGAATTTGTTGATGTTTGAAGAGTTTGTTGATTATTTTGCACTCAAGTACTTAATATTAAGATGTTTTAAGTATTTTGATCCCGATTTTGTTTTTGCTTTTATGTAACAGCGCGTCAGGAGAGAAAAAAGTGTTACGAAAGAATGTGTGCGCATTTCCATGCAAAGTCAAGTGACTGCGTTTATCTACATTAAATATTTGCGCTGTTCCCCATAGATGTTTCCATCGAGCAGAAGAGTTCTGATTTCAAATGTGCGCAACGTATTTCCATTCATATTTTTTCATATACAAAGTCATCCTGCAATTATGTCCAATAAATAGGACACTTTCGTTAATTTGCTTCCAATTTTATTAACGTCTGACGTAATATTATGTTCCAGTATGAGAGGTTTATTAAATGAGGTAAATGTTGAAATAGAACGTCCTTTAAATCGTACGCTCGGCATTTGAGATTAGCTCCATATGCAAATACGTTAATTAAGACATATCATTGTGCAATATTGTAAGCAATTTAATTATGATCACAAAGAGAGAAAAATCAAAACTCTGAGAGTAATCCGCTGCATGAGGAGATTCGATTTTCAGGTTGTTCGAGTATTAAGTTCAAATAAAAATATATATATTTTGTTCTAGTTACCGAATTGTATCAAATATTGAATCTTTTAAGTGTATTTTTCATTAGAAAGTCTATTTTTGAGCTGTTTATTTCTATGCGATTCTAAAGTTCTCTATTAATCCGGTTTCAAAGAGCACTGGGCGAGGTATTGCTGTGAAATAATACTATTAACTTGGAGATCAATAAATTTTATTACATTTTGAATCCACAACGAGAATTGTATTTTATTAACATTACCACAATTTTGTAATTTCGTTAATTTTTAAAGTTTTTGAATTATATTGATATTAAGTTTGAGAATAAAAATATGATTTTTTAAATTTTTGTTGTTCGACTTTGAATTAGTTTGAATATCAAATCGTTGACTGTAGTTATTTCTTATTACTTTCAGATGGGGAAATTCAATTTAGTTGTGACAATCTTGTCATTACTGGCGATATCTCAGGCTGTGCGACACGGACTGGACATACCCAAAGGACCATACTGCTCCAAAGTCGGATGCTGCGATTCAAGACAGGATGAGTGCTCAGCGCCACTCCTAGGTCCTAATAATACTCAGTCAAATACCGAGAACCATTCTAACAATCCCGATCTGCTCATTTTAGACACCTTATGTTATTGTGACGAGTTCTGCGATCGCGATGTCTCCGAAGACTGTTGCCCTGACTTCTGGACAGTTTGCCGCCACGAATTGCCACCACCACCCGATCCGGCTCCAATTAAAACCTGCCACCACGACGGAAATTACTACCTCAAGGGAAAAGAGGTCAAATTTAACTGCAACATCTGGTAACAGAATTATTTAATCATTTCATATTAAATAACTTACTTGCATTCGGCAGCAAATGCGAGGAAGTCAATGGAAGGATGGAAATGTTGTGCGATCAAAATGAGTGCATCATCAACACGGACATCATGAGTTCCGTCAATCAGTTATCCTACGGATGGACCGCATCTAACCACTCTGAATTTTGGGGAAGGACCCTCAACGACGGTATTCGTCTTAGGTAAAGCAGTTGAATAACAATTTTATGGTGTCAAAAATCACCTAATATTTGATCATTTTTTTGGGAAAGGTTATACAATTATATTTTTATTCAGATTGGGTACATTCGAGCCCCATCGTTTCGTCTTGAACATGAATCCGGTTAAGAAGATTTACAGTTTGGATTCGATCCCGAAAACTTTCGATGCTGATGATGTATGGCCTGGAAAGATTACCAGGGTCCAAGATCAAGGCTGGTGCGGAAGCTCCTGGGCCATATCCACCGCCGCCGTTGCTTCCGATAGGTTTGCTCTTTGCAGCATCCACTAGTCCTTTTTTCTAATTGTATTATCTTCCTTCAACAGATTCGCCATCATCTCCAGAGGATTAGAGGAGCCTCACTTGAGCGCCCAACATCTCTTATCTTGTAACAATAGGGGCCAGCAGAGCTGCAACGGAGGATACTTAGACAAGGCTTGGATGTTCCTGAAGAAATTCGGGTGAGTGAAAATCGAATTCATTTTGGAGGTTCGCAGACGTTTACATTTGAGTTTGCAGCGTTGTCAATGAGGAATGCTTGCCGTACACTGGATCAACTGGAAAGTGCGGAATTCCCGTCAACGGAAATCTCCTTACAGCAAGATGCATTCCTCCGGAAAACAAATATCGCAAAGACTACTATCGCACCGCTCCAGCTTATCGCCTAGGAAACGAAACTGATATCATGTTTGAAATAATGAAATCCGGACCTGTCCAGGGTATTTCCTATATTATTTGCATAGTTTTTCGTTAACTCTAATTGATGTTTTATGATTTTTTTTATAGCCACAATGAAAGTGTTCCAAGACTTCTACATGTACAAAGGAGGCATTTACAAGAACACTCATCTTGGTGAATCTCACAGGACTGGTTACCATTCGGTGAGGATCGTCGGTTGGGGCGAGGAAAGCACTTACACCGGCCATAAGAAATTCTGGGTGAGTAGCGATATTGATTTATTGTTTGTTAACTTCATTGTACAAATAAAAGATGAACATTGTAATAGTCTTGAAGTGTATAATAATTCAATTATTACCATATTGCTTGGTATTCTCCTGGAATAAATTTTACTTAAGTGAAATGATTTGCTTGAATTGTGAATGAGGATCGTGTAGTAAATTTGCAATATCTCTTCTACGTTTCAGAAAGTGGCGAACAGCTGGGGTCACATGTGGGGTGAGAACGGATACTTCAAAATCGAACGTGGAATAAACGAATGCGAGATCGAGTCTTTCGTGTTGGCAGCTTGGCCGCGTATCGCCGACAAGAGCAACAACAAACATCGCAAACAGAACCCTTAAAAAACCGCTCTTCCTTAAATCTTCTTAAACTGTACGATTTATTACATTTATCTCATAGGTGCCATGTGTTTTAGGACGCTTAGGAAAACGATGTGTTCATCATTCTGTACTACCACAAAAAAAAATGCGAAAAAAAAAACTATATGTTCGCTTGTTTGTAAATACTTCTTCGTATAGTTTCACTAATTATCTGCATGAGTTCTTTATTCTTATCCATACTTAATTATATATAGTTAACATATTATTATACTATATTTCGCAACATGGATTTTAATACTAAGTTACCCCCATGTCTTCCGTTTTTTTGTTTGTTTTCTTCTTTTATAGTTGTACTTAAATTATACAAACACATATATATTAGATGGAAAACTGGTCGAATATGTTCCCAGTTTTATTTATTTTTATACTCTTTTTAGATTCATAATTTATTGTATATTCTATTCTCCATTGCTTTATACTTAATAAATGTTATAATATTATTATGTGTTTATTATTACTCTTCCTCTTCGATTTACTTTTTATATATTTCATATTCTAATAAAATAATAATCTTTAAAAAATCGCAAGAGAAATTTACTGTTGATAAAATGAAGATTGGTAAAATTGGAGTTAATATATTTTACAAATAATAAAATATATGTATCTGATATTATCTTATACAAGCAAAATAATCTGCTGGTATTAAGTTAATAGACAAAGTTATGTTACACATATTTATAAAACATACTTAGTTTCAAAATTAAAAACCTGACGTTCTATTCATTCGTATCGATCGATAATTACGTTGTCAGGGAAACAAAGTTTACAAACACTTGAGGAATGCAACATTGTCGTTCATAAAAGGTACACAGGTGTTGAGTGCAAAAGTTAGACGTTATGGACAAGATAATTAGGCCAGTTTTCACTTTAGAATTGAATTACAAAATTGTACCTGGCCTCACGACTATTGGGAAATACGATGGAACGCATCCGTGTCTGACTGCCGCCACCACAGCAGACAAGGTAACATTCTTAAAAACTTTGTTTTTTTTATTTCTATTGCCAACCATTAATATGCATATATTACACAATTGGTCCCAGATCTTGATTCACAGTCCGCATAGGAAGAGCGCGATTGTAACTGGAAGAGTGGTCTGGTCGGAGAGCAACCGTGAAATAGCCACACTCAATATAAATCAATCAATAACGGCTTTGGCTGCTGGACCGCTAATCCCGCAGGACGATAAGGATATCTTAATCGTCGGTGCGATATTTAGTGCACACCATTACAGAGCGAAATACCATTTAATGGGTTGTTCGTTGCAGGAACCCCGACGCACATTTTAGCTTATCACGTTCACGACAACAGAGATATTTTCTATAAGGAATGTCCGGATGGTGTGAGGGCTCTAACTGTTGGCCTCTTCCACGACTCGAAGAGTCCCATGGTCTTGTCAGGTGGTAACTCTACTGTTCATGGGTACGACGCCGTGGGCAACGAGCTGTTCTGGCTTGCGATCGGAGATGCCGTTACATCATTGATACTACATGACTACAACAAAGATCAAACGAACGAAGTAAATATTAATCTATTTGTATTTGTTCAAATCATTAATTTAAGCCGGTTTTAAGCTCATTGTAAGTTCCGAGGATTATAACATCAGAGTGTATAAAGGTGATCGTTTGTTGGCGGAGCAAACTGAAACGGAGGTGGTTACAGGACTTGCAGCACTACCTGACAACAGGTTCGCATATTCTGTTTCTAATGGAACTGTCGGTGTCTACGAGCAGGACATCAGATTGTGGAGAGTCAAGGTAAGATAAGTCGACTAAAGAGTTTTTGAAATTCGAACACTTTCTTTAATAACAAAAAAGAAAAAATAACTATACGTCATCGGTCCAATCAAAGCAACTGGTTTCTAGAATGGACCATTTGTTCAATTTCAAATTAAGCAATTATATCTGCAAGTGTCTCTTTACTTTTATAATCTGTTGTGCTTTTTCTTAAATTATATCTATTAATATTAGGCAACTTCTTGTACTCCAAAATTAGGCTACTATTAATAATATTTGAAATTATATAATTTATCGCCAATTTTGAACAATAGTTTGTGAACTTGTAGCGAATTATGAATTAATATGAGGAATTGCCATATTTTGCTAGTAATTTTAGCACAGTTTAAGAACTATCACCTTTATAGTAAAATATTTGATTTCTCACTGCCTGAAAACAATAACTACATCCACGAGGCACTAATGTGGTCCAACCTAGGCAACAGTTAAAATATAGCAACCGTCTCCTAATTATACGTTTCTAATTAATTTTATTTGCAGTCTAAGATATTTGATTTATAACTGCCAAAAGAGAATAACTCATCATTAACTAGATGCACGAGATGCTATGGTCTACTTAGACTACAATCCAACAACTTAAAATTAATAATCTTCCTTATTGATTTTCAGTCTAAAAACTTCGCAATTTCACTCTTTAGCTACGATTTGCTAGGCCAAGGACATTCACAGTTAATCACCGGTTGGTCAAATGGTAAAGTGGACTGCAGGTCGATCAAAACTGGGGAAGTACTGTTTAAAGATACGCTAGGACACGGATGCGCCGGTATCGTTGAAGGCGATTACAGATCGATCGGAAAAGCCGATCTGATCTGCACTTCGAGCGAAGGAGAAGGTAATTTTTCTACAACTTAAAAATACAAAAATTCACATTTGTATTATTCAACAGTACGTGGATACACGACTACAAAATCGTTATCAACTACTCCAAGCTCAGGATTGGAGCAGGACACAGTTCGAGACTTGTTGGCACAGAAGCAAGCGTTGCTTTTGGAATTAAAACATTACGAAAATAATTCCAAAGTTAACGAAGAATTCGATAGGAGGGAAGACAATTTAGAGAGCAATGGAGTTATACCGGCAAATACGCGTCTACAGATCGCTATATCTGCGAACGACAACCCAAAAACTAAGGTTTTTTAAAGATGTAACATCAACATTCGATAATTTTAAATTAAATTTTTAGAATCATGTCGAAATATTTATATTAACCAATAACAATACGGTAATAAAAGCTGTAATTGTATTTGCCGAAGGAATTTTCAAGGGCGAAACCCATGTAGTCCATCCTCAACAATCTAAGCTGTCAACTGAACTTAGCGTACAGCTTTATCCGCCTAAAGATAATCCAGTTGATATACATATCAAGGTTTTAACTTTAACTTAATATTATTGTTTCTTAATTTGGGTTTTACGTTCATTAACTTTTAGGCTTTAGTTGGGTATTCTGGTAGTAATCAGTTTCACGTCTTCGAAATAACCCGTCAATTACCTAGGTTCTCGATGTATGCTCTCTGCGAAACCAAAGGCGCGCAGTGTGATAGTTTCGTGGAGTTACGTATAAGCGAACGTCTGCAGAGGATGTGCATGTGGATCAATCAGAATTTTCTGTTGGCGCACGACATCGAATTCGAAACTGGGCCTGAACTGAAGATCTGCTTAAAGTGCTTACGAGATGACAGCTACCTGTCGCTTCTCTTTGACATTTCCGGTCGCGTTGTCATAAAAACGGAAAACATTTCCTTAGCAGCTGATCTTGTCCAGTCCTTGGCCAACTTCAATAATTTGGAATCTTTGGAGGTATTGGATATTAATCATATGTATTGAGAATTGTAATTTTATGATTGTGTTAGACTAAAGTAAATCTACCAAAAGAGGAAGAGAAGATTCGTATTTATATGGAGAAGCTGACGCAGATCCAAGAAGCCCGAATGAGATTAGGAACCGATGTCGCTGATAGGTTAGGTCAGATCCGTGGGTTGATAGTCCGAGCCGAAGACAGCAGAGTTAATTGCCTGTGCGTAATTAATTGTTACACCTGTGAATATTAATGGATAGTAAATTTGATTTATTGTAGGAGCGAAATGCCAAAGTATTATAATGAACTCAAAGCCTTGAATTCGGAGCTGACCAACGGATACAACATCCGCTTGGCCAATTTCAACGAAGGACAGGAAACAATGAAAAACATCAATTTCATTCTACAGAAAGCGACGAGATTAAGAGGTTTGTTCGCAATTGCAGCAACAATGAAATTCTAATATAAAATTTGTTACTAGCTGGAGCTAAATCCTCGAAAATGATCGGATATTGCCGGACTGCTATTAAAAACAACAACATCGACGGATTGATTAAGATAATCAGGACGGGGGAATTGTGAATGGAATGGAATCGTTTAAAAATAATATAATGTATTTTACAAAAAAAAAATCAACAAAATAAAATTAACTTATTGCTTAAACTCTGACTTTACCGCTGATCAAGTTCTCGTAAATATCTTTAGTGAGAGGGACGTATGATCCCTGTTTGGCATCGTAGAAGTAAACGTCATCCTCGATGACGTTGATATTGAATCCATCCTTTTGCAGCTCGAATTTCTTGAGTTTAAAAGTTCCGGTTAATGGAACCGACTGCATTACCCTAAGGAATATGGGTAAGGAGTACATAGGAAGGCTAGCTTTCAAACCTCTAGCTAATACGTTTATATCTAATGTTTTGTTACTGTCCACGATTGCAGCCATTCCTGCTTTACCGTCAGTTCCAGGAATCTGAAAATGGTTATAAATTACATTCAACATTTTCATAAACTATGTATTCAGAAAGAATAATATCAATTTGAATAATGTATTACCTCTACACCATAAACGGTGGCATCACTCAAGTCTACAACATTGCTAATCACAGCTTCAACTTCTGATGTTGCTACATTTTCTCCTTTCCACCTAAAATTATAAGAAATATTAATATTTACAAATAAATTAGTTTTGTTATGACTATCAACTTAACGTTACAACTAGTATAATTTATATACTACTATAATTCTACTTCGATTAGAAGTTTTCAACTAAAACTTGATATAACACATAAAGTATTCAAAATCATAACATACAGCAGACAGTCACACCTATGGTTGACCTTGAGTTATTCTGATAATATTAAGGTTATTTATTTCTAAATTACCTGAAAGTATCGCCAGTCCTGTCCTTGAAATAGAAATATCCTAGTTCATCCTGAACCAAAATATCACCAGAATTGAAGTATAAATCTCCCGTTTTAAACACGTTCTCCAGAACCTTCTTCTTGGTGGCTGTTTTATCCGCGTATCCAGAAAATTGGTTGACAGCTTTCTTGGGATTTATCTTTCCGATAAAAACGCCAGGTTCGCCAATTTTGCACACCGTGCATCGACCATATTTATTCCTGATTGGTTCACCGGTGATCATATCGCATTTGATTAAAGTCACTGGATAGATGGCACCAGCATATCTTGGTACAAAACCGACAGCTCCAACTGTGCTATCAATATTGACTAAAACGTGAAAATAAAAATTAATAAAATCTATTGATTATAAAAAAAAAATGGATTATTTACTCAAGTTAGAATTTCCTTCGGTTGCGCCATAAAACTCGTAGATTTTCTTAACACCGAAACGTTTTACAAACTTGTTCCAGATCTGTCCTTTCAAACCGTTTCCCATCATAATTCGCACATTATGCTTAATGGGCTCTGTTTCAGGAGTAGCTAAAAGGTATCTGCAAAGCTCTCCGATGTATTGAGCAGCGGTGCAATTGTACTTGGCGCAATCCTTCCAGAAGTTCGATGCTGAGAATTTCTTCCTGATGACCACAGTTACTCCAGAAAGTAAACACTGACCAACACCTACCATTCCACCAGCGCTGTGGTATAATGGTAAAGCGTCATAGAGGATATCGTCTTCTTTGAGCTGAGTCATAAAGTTCAAAGCAGCCGACATCATCATAAAACTGAAATAATATAAAATTTTAATGTAATTATCTGTTGTGTAAAGTAATTATTAAAGCCTACCGTATATTCGTGATTACAGCAGCTTTTGGCAGCCCTGTCGTTCCCGAAGTGAAGATGTAAAGCAACTTATCTTTAGGTCCAAACTTATCCATGATTTTCAAATAATCAGTACTGCTCTTCTTCAATTCCTCTTTTAAATCTGTACCAGGTGCAGACGTTTTTTGTTCTTCGACGAATTGGAAAAGCTTCAACGATTCCAGCTTCGGTAAAACATCACTAACCACTGTCAACAAAAAGTAAGTTAAAATCAAAATCTAATTGCTAGTTTATCGTTGTTACCAGCAGATCTGTTCGATCCGTAAATCAAGGCCACCGATTCGGATGCTTTGATGGAATGAACCAGGGGATCCAGAGTCTGATTGGTGTTGATTAGGGCTGTCACAACACCAATTTTGGATAGGCCGAACCAAATGCCAACGTATTCTGGGCAGTTCTCCAAAAGCAAGGCCACCGTTTGTCCCGGTTTCAGTCCGCATTTCAAGAAGTAATTTGCTACTCTATTGGAGTACTCATCCAACTATGAAACCAAATAAATTTAATATATCATCGTTTACATTTGAAAATCTATGAATTACTTCTTTGAAACTCAACGTGTCATCTTCGAAGTGGAACGCTATTTTGTTTGGATGCTTTTTCACAAGAGAAGCGAAAACCTTTGCCGCGGTCATATTGTTGTTCTCCCATTTCCATATCCGTATATTGAACAATGTAAACCTAAAGAGAGCTCTGAAAACAAAACAAAAACAATAATGAAAAACAATACTTCTTGATAATATTTCATTTAATACGCAATTGCATTGTATTCGCCTCTGAATAATCAAAGTAATAAAAGTGAAATCATCATTTTTTACTGTTTATACTATTTATTAAACAATCGATAAAAAAAATCCATAAATAATATATGCGCAAAACATACGTCAAAAAATGACAATCATTCAATTAGCGAATTCCAAACACAAATGCGAGTATTGATTGTATAACGCAGGTCATCTGAATTTGAACTTTATTACTTGCGTAAATGCATTTATCCTTTTTTGTTTTATATTTGCAGTAAATAACAATAGTGTTCATTTTTAAATGGAAAAAATATACTTAAGAATATGAATATTGCACAAAACTTTTGACTCAGCATAATAATATAATCAACTGTAGCTGAGGAGAATATACAAACAAAATCGAAATACATTAATTTAGTTAATTAAAATTAAAAAAAAAATATATTTATCAAATTTGATGTATGTACGTATGAGATAAAAGAGTATTAACTAGTTTCAATGCTTACGTAATAGATTTATCGGATTTTGAAATGTATGTTAAATTAATGTTATATATCGGGTTATCCGGAAAGTTCGTGCCGATTTTCGCTAAGTATCTAAATATATTAGAATTGTGAAAAACAATGAACTTGTGTATATATTCTACCAAGTCAGATTTCAACCGTCTTTAAAAAAAGTTTGGTTTGAATCCAAAGAAACTGACACATTTAGTACCCTCGTGAAAATGGAAAAAAATAATGTGCATTTTATACTTTTCTTATTTTCTGTTACTGTAATGCCAAAAATACTACTAACTAAGATATATATTCTGCTTACGGAGAAGTTGCTAAATGAACTTTATGAACATAATTCTCTAAATTTTGAGCTTATGATTTCAGCCTTAAAATTCTGTTAATAATAATGATGAATTTTTGATCGAGAGTTAAGTTTTCCACAATTTAACGGACAAAAATCACGATAATATCAGCCCTTATATATATATTTATTAGTCAACAAAAATTGTTGCAGCCGGACAGAGTTGTATTTGTCCACCCGTAGTATTCACCAGACAATGCACTTTCCGATTTCCACAAATTTGGGTCTTTGCAAAATTCTATTAACTGTAAGAATAATTAATTTTTAGTCGACATAAAAAACGCCTAAAGACGTTTTTTAACGAAAAACCTAATAAATTCTGGTGCATACATAAATAAAAATGTTTATATCTATATATAAAAGCTTTGATTTTTAATTTTCGTGAAAAATTGGCACAAAATTTCCGGACAACCCAATACTATCATTTTGAGTATCAACGAACATTCTATGTTAATTTTTTCTACGTAAAAAGATGCATATTATGTTCTGAAAAATGAAATGATTTAGAAGTTTCTAACAAAATAATATTAACAACCAAAGACTTAAAATAAGTTCTTAAATGACATTCAAACGTTTTTTTTTTAGTTTAAATTATCCCGATTTAAGAAAAAGTTTAATTATTAAACAATCCGTGATAAAACCAATAATTGTTAGATGAAAGAGAGAAAAATTACAAATAATCAAGTAATTGTATATAAGTTGACTTACATACATTTCTTCAACAAACAATTTAAATAAGTTTTTTTTTCTTGTAAATCCGAGCAAATTTCAATAGCTCTTTGTATACAATAAACAATTTTTATTTATCGAATTGATTTAACACCACAAGTATATTTATATTGCATTTAGAAAACGCTACTCTTCGTAATCTTGATACATATTTCCTGTGCCATCTCTGATAAAACTGCGATTATCAAATTTTAGGGTATAAAATTGCCATATATATAAACTATGTCAGCTTCTGTTTTTTTTATGATTAGAACAGGATCCGGTCTAGATACATTTAATTTACTTTTTTATCATCGATCTTCTTCACCCCAAAAAGCGAAAACGCACTTTGACAAGGCTGATAAATGCGGTCATGCGGGTCCAAACAAAGAGCTTGTTCTTCGTACAGATAAGAACGGTTACTGGAAAGTTGTCTAAGCACTTGATACTTTGACCAAGTCCAATTAAAGCAAACGATCCGGAAAGAAATAGTTTATAAATATGAAACGTAAATAAATCAAACAATAAGCGATAACATCTGCTTTGTAAACAACAAACATTCGCCTATCATAATCGTAAATATACTTTACTTATATTACACTTCTCCTATGTTATCATTAAATTCTCATTTATAACAAATAGTTCCAGTTAAAATGATTAATAATCGTATTGCCTTTTAATTAGTTATTTGCTAAAATGTTTATGTTTTCTTATAAAATAAAGAAAATCCTTGTTTCGTTCAAAATAAACTAAATATTAATTGAGCAAAATTAATTCTAAAAAATATATGATTGATGATTAGTTTTTGATTCGGTCTATTATTACTTTTTTATGCGTTGAAATTAATGTCTTTATATACAACATTTTATGTTATATTTGTGAGTTTTCCGTGTAATTGAGATGTTTATTCTACTTTATACTAATTGCAGGCTATTTTAAAAGATGATAGTTTATGAAATTTTATACTTTGAAGAAGTAAATAAACAATTTTTAGTTAGACAAAAACTATATCCAAGCCAAGAAGTAAAATTATAACATTTTGCTTCACTATTTCTTTTCAGTAAATATTATAAAAAATGAAACAACTACGAGGATAGATTAAGAATTGACTGAAACGATAATCTTTTTGATTTAAGTCTGAAAGATTTCTGACTATTATATATGTTACAAAGGAATGTTCCTTGAACTTTTAATAAGTTAATTCAATATGAGTTAATTATATCAATCAACTTATTCAAAATTGAATAAAACCATCAAATAATCATTACAAGTTGATTGATTGGCTTCGATCATTGAGGATTCTCATACAATACAATTTTAAGTTTACAAAAGAAACTAAATTTTAATTGACAAAACCTATTCATAAATGATCGTTTTTAAAATAGTTCAAGAACCCGTACTATGTGAGGTATAGTCATACGTATTATAAAAAAACATTGATGATATTTCCTCAGAATTGCAAGAAAATGTATAATACAAATATCATTAAATATGTTTGCAGATTCAAATATTTATTGTTTATAATAAACCTTGATTACTTACTTGAAATCTCTTGGTAAAGTCTTGTAGAGAATATAAATCCATCGATACCTCTTTTTGGTTGTAAGTAGCACAACTAGTGCAGCCACAAGGCAAGTAATGAAGATCTAAAAAAAAGCAGCAACAAAAAAATATCCCAAATTATTTCCACATCCTTTTCTCATCCAGAAGAACTACTTACCAGCATAGTTTCAGATCAAAACATGGCACGCAAACAGAATGATTACAGATATTGCAGGCTTCTGTGGACGACTGTGTACTAGATGCGCGCAGTCCAGACTGACCGTTCGTACTTAGGGCACTGATAGTCTTGCCGCATGAACGAACCGCAACTCGAGTCAAGTTTATATTTATTAGATGAAAGAACGGCGATTACTTAACTCGACCGATAGCTAACGTAAACTGTGTTATCTCCATTCACAGTTTTAATTGCTAATTGCAGTTACACAAACGCTTTCAATAATATTACAGCGAATAAAAAAACTTTCCATTCTTCATCGTTACTTAAGCACATGAAATTTACTTTTCTTTTGATAAAATGGAATGGAATTAATAACACAGGTAGTAATAATAATTTTAAACGAATATTTTATAATTGATACAAGGAATAGAATAAACAATTACTTCCATCATAGCAAGAAAACGTAATAGGAAGAAAATTAACAAATATGGAAAACTTTTAGTTAATAACAAAGTTATAAAGATTTTGTTTATAATTGATGTAAGGTATATTCATCGATTATCATTGAATGAAATATTACGTTCTATTCTATTGGACTTGGACTCATTGGAATTCTGTTATAAACGATATTGTTCAAGCAACAAAACATTGTATCATTTTCATTTGGCAATTTGATTCTGTATAGTTTTTTTTTGCTATCGCATTGACATTGGCGTGAAGCAATGAAGGCTGAGCATTGAAAGAAAACAAGCGCATCCATTGATGTTTTGCTGTGCACGGACTCGGTGTGTCCAGGATACACCATATCGGGTACAAAGTCCACGTTCCGTAAATTAGTGGGGCGATTCAAATAAAATTATTACTCAATTTAGAGCATTGTTAGAGGAAAACGAGGGAACAATTTCGGTTGCATCGAATACGCGTGCACGAGACATTTCCTTAACGCTCTTTGAGGGGAAAAACGAATTAAAAAAAAAGTGATAATCTGTAATTAATCTTCGTTTTATTGCTTTCAGTAGCGAAATTACACTGAGCGGGACCACGCAGTGCGGGCCCAAATTAAAATTTGTTTAGGGCCCACAAATAATAAAAAGTATCTGATAACTGGATCCACACTGGGCATTTAGAATTTTGTTATTTGCTTTCTAACATCTGTGGTTCAAAATATATGTTAATGATATATATGCTAAGATTATCATATCAATATTGTTTATTCTACATTCTAAGAAAATTAGTTTCTACAATCTAATCTTTACCGTTATTATACAAACAAAAGTAGCTTTAATTATAGTTTTATGGATCAAAGTACATGTTTTATTTCGTAGCTCGTATAGTATTAATTTCGTTAATGAAATAAATAGTTATAATCTAATAATTTGATTTAATTAAATATCTCGGAAAATTCTAAAAATTGAATTTCTAACATCTGTACATCAAAGTTTTTTTTTTTCAAAAAATATTGTTTTAACTTTTTCAGTATCTTAAGCAGGATTGGACCATTTAGTTTAAGGGTATTGGGCTAACGCTGTTTGTAGGCCCTACCAAGGTCCTATAAAAGTTGTTGTAGGCCCTAGGCACCAGTTTATATAAATCAAGAGAAGTGTGGTCAAGTGTCAGCATCTTATAAACCTAATAACAAAATTTGTGTTATAATTCAAATATCTTTTGCGGACATAATATATACTGATAATATAAACTGATGACGAAAATCGGTTCTTGCAGAACATTAAAGTTATCGTGGGCCCATTCAATTATGTTTAGCGATGACCAAACATTCTAGAAAGCCCTATTCCTAACATTATTTGGGTCCTACATTAAAAAAAATGTTATAATGAAATCTTTAGTTATGAAATAAGAAAATGTGTCTTATACAATTGTTAAATGAATTCATTTATTATCAAATATTATATACTATTGTAAATATCAAATAACAAATAACGTGAGTTTCACTTTTTATTTTTGCGTCAATCCGCGCTTTTGTTGTAAAATGAATATAATTCTATAACAAAATGAATTTGCGTGTCAAAATGGTAAAATACAGTAATAATAGTTGGTCTGCTAGGAAATTGCAGGGGAATAAATTGAAACGGCGAGTGTGGAGGAAGGCATGAAAACAAACACGTGTGTTCAATGGATAATTGCAATTTAGTTCATTCCATGTCTAGAATCATAAATTCAACGCATTTAGTTGATTTGTTTTCAACTTTGCTACTACCATATGTCTCCAATGGAAATAATTAATAGTCATCTGTAAAAAGACTTGATTTCTCTTTGTTGTTTAGTTAATTGTAGATCATTAAATAACTTATCAAAGTTACTAAATCTTATGCAATTAGGAAGATTTCCGATGGGAAATCGTTCAGCTCCACGCTTGTTATTTTGTTTTTCTGTCTGTGGCCAAAAAATATTCTACTTATTGCTAAGAATGTTGGCAGGTTGTGAATTTTTAAAATATATACAAAAAAAATCTTATGCATTTTGTATAGTGCTTGGTAGGCAACACAAATAACTCTGAAGTTTAAGTTCGTGCATTATTTATGTTTGTAGTCTAATACTCGAATCTTCTTCTTCTTCCTTCCCCATCTTCATTTGGCTTCCGCATTACGCGTCAATAAGCCAGTCCCTGTCTGTGTTCTTCGGATTTCCTCTTCCGTCCAAATAGTTAAGGCAGCCAGCTTCTTCCAATTACCACAAAAATTTCCCCCTTCAAAACAAATAATCAAAATAAACGACTTCTTCTAACGAAACTAAAAAATAACTATTAAATCCAACTTAAACTGACTTCTATAAAATATGTACATAGGAGAGATACGGCAAGACAGCTAAAGACAATAAAGATAACGGATCGACCACAAATATATAACGAATTTCAAACCGGGGTCTCAGCGGTTCAGTACTCAGGTTCTTGGAGAGACCTCGGAAAGGTATAAGTTAGAAAGGTTGACACATTAAAACTATATACAGGCATTGGATGTTTTAAGAAACTTTAGAATTGCTCTGGAAACGTAAACGTCCTCGGATTGAATGAGACACCGTATGGACGTGGGCTTTATTGCTCATAAAGAACCCCGGATGCCTCACTATTGTGTTCACATGCGCAGACGATGTGATGTGAATACTCGAATCAAAACCGTCGTTTGAAACCCAGGCTCGACATGTCTAATCCCATATTAACAGAACCTAGGATTTCTGAGGATTGGAGCAAGGGGACCGCGCTTACACATCAAAATTTATTTATTTAAAAATAGTACATGTTACAAATATCTAGGTATATTCATTTTAAAAATATAAGATTTTTTTTTCATTTATCAATTATGGTTAAATGGTTAAATTAATACCACATTTTTTTAATAAAATAATACACATTATATGACGCTTTTGTGGTGATATTTATCTATATTTAAATTAAATTAAATAGAATAGGATATAGTGGTTTCAGAATAAAAAAATATCATTATAATATGTTACGACGTATATTGGTTTTATTATCAATTTCTACATTTGCTATATCCTCTTTCTAATCTCTTGCTAATTCCATATATTTACAATGTTGTAATTCAGATTAATTTGTAATATTTGTTTAAATTTTATGCATTTATAAAATGTTAACTTTGTTACTAGTTAGTATTGCGTATTATTTTTTTTAGTTATAAAAAAGGAGAAACAAAATACATTTTGATTGATATTAAACTATATGCATTTTTTTTTGACGAGTACTCAGTGTTACGAACATTTTAGAAGGGGTACACAGATGTCTAAAGGATTCGGATTTAATAAACTTTATTAATTTTATAAATATTATATAGCTTACATATTAGCGGAGTCCGGTATGGTATTTAGCCTCTTGTGGCCTTCAGAAGTTTGATACACAAAAATAGAAATAATAGTATGACAAAAATACAAGATAAAACAAAATAAAAATAGAACAGATCAGAGCAGAATATAAAATAATAGAGAACACATCAAAACACTGCACAACTGAACTGAACAAAAAGTCTATGGTGTGTAGTTTAGGTCACTAAGGTCGGAGGTAAAAATTTTGGATTGATGTCTTCTAAAAGTTGGATGAAGATCGGGTCATCAGAATCAGCGTTGCGTGCCAGCACAGCAGGGGTTTAAGGGATTTTGGCTTTGATACTTTTGGAGAGGGATGAAAGAGTGTTGAGTGGTGTATTCAAGGTATGATATGCGAGTCAGCCTTAGAGTTTTTTTTAATGATGTCATAGATGTTGTGGAAGGAGACAAGTTTGCATAGGGTAGAAGAGAAGTGTTTTTGCTGAAGGCGGATGATTTTTCATCTACATTTCCGTTCAATTTTGATGATTCTTTGAATTGATAGGGGGAGCTATTGTATAAATTGTGATAGGGTACGTATGAATACATTATACGTGTGGAGTAGGGTTTCGGCGGAGCAACAGCCCCTTTTAGATTAGATTCAGAAAAGAAGGTTTAATCGTTGGTTGGCTTTCTTCAAGAAGGAGCTGATTAAAAGTTTGGTGTCAAGTGTGTGGGATAGTTGGATTCCTAGGTAGTTGGCGATTTTATCTTCCAGAATTTGGGAGTTTTACAACGAGATTGAGAGGAGCGGATTCTGGAGTGGCGGAATGTAAAGAGTTGGGATTTGGAGGGGTTGTGTTTTATCCGCCAAGATGTCTAAAGTTTGGGAAACACTGCTTTATTCATTAATATTTCATTGTGATTCATTTACTCATATTCAATAAATCTAATACTTGCATCAATGATCTTAATTAATAGTGGAAATAAAAAATATTTTATACTTTAAAAAATAATTTCATATAAAAAAAGCTTTTCTGCAGTTTTTCCACTGGACTAATAATAACTCGATTTTATACAAAAATGTGCAGTAATTTATAAAATAATACAAGAAAAAATTAAAAAAGTAGAATTAGTACAATATGTGAAATTACCAAGATATTGCAATTTTTAAAATTTGGTGAATCAATAAAAAAAATATAATTAAAATGTAATGTGATGTGATTTAAAATTAAACTTATCAAACAATCATTTGTATAACAAAAACTTTAAAAGTAATATTCATGTATATTTTTTTTGATAGTGTAAAAGTGGCGTAGAAAGCGTAATTAGATCTCTTCATTTCAGAGAGATTACAAATTACGTCTTGCCTTGAAATGTTTTGTACATTATACATATTTTGAATACAAATTTTAAAATGTATAAGTTATAAACAAGTTAAAACAAACAAATTCTCCGCAATTGTAAATATAACAACAACTCAAGTATGTACAGGTATTCCTCGTCGCTTTATGACCTACCTCCTTAACGATCACTCGTACTTACGATTAATTTCGACCTGCAACTCGGTCTTAAAGTGAGGAGTACCTGTATTAAGAAATACGACGTTTCTTTAATTTTGTTGAGTAATATTGATGATTATATATTTTAAAATGTTAATTATGAAAATGACAATAAATAGTAATAATCAAGATTTTTCTGGATTAAAATAGATTATATGGATATAGAGAACCACATTTTGTTCTCATTTTATTTAAAAAAATAGTAATTAATCAGCTCTTAATGGAACGCCCTTTGCAATTGTATTTGCAGCAGATTTAGAAATTGCTAAGAGATTCTAAGATTAATGATACATCTATTGATATTGTCAAGGAAGCAAACTTAGATGGTAATATGTTAGTCAAAGAAATGGAAGCTCTAAAATCTATTCTTTCATCATAATATTTCCAACAAAACAAACATCGAAGAAATAAAATCATAGTGGAATACCTTTGGAGTCTTAAAATTTGGTCACATCTTAAATTTATGAGCAAATCACCAGAACATGAAATATTAACTTAATCGGCTATATTCAAAATTGTGCAGCTATGTGGAATCATAGGCACCTTCTCTCTAGATGAATAAGTATTATTACGGAACATTTCTGGTGCATTCTCTTCCAATAAAAGTTGTGCATCGTCGTACGTTTCCGTATGCATAATTTTATTCACTATTTCCTCCTTTTTCATTTGTAATTTCGACAATTTTACTTTTCTTTTTGTAATTGCTTGTTTGTTGCACTTAGATACTATTGTACTAAGTGGGAAATATCTGAAAACGCACTAAATTAATTATATTTTTTGTAGGCTTGAATTATTACTTACAATACTGCAAACACTACAAATGATAAGAAAATTTTGGCATTAAATGGATATAGAATAGGATATATCAAAGATGAAATGACAGAGATGGAAAAAGTACTTTGGGCGTAATATCTCATTATTTTCTTTGGCATATTTCGCCTGGTCCTTAACGAATCTTCAATTGATTTCATCTCTTTATTTATATTTTCCAATGAGTTAATGTGAAATTTCCTTCTCTAAACAGAAACAAATCACAATTTATTCAGTTTGACCCAGTAGAACGGTTTAACTTATCTTTTTAGTTGGAGATAAAAAAAAACACAATTTCCGTTATTATAATCATTGTATGCAATTAACAACTTGTTAAAATAATTATATTGTAAAATAGAGAATATTTTCCACATTTGTAAAAATACTTACCAGTTGTTTGGGTATAATCAAACCCATGGTCGTATAGTAAATATTGAGCAGGTCACTGTTTACTTCATCTGGTCTGTCTGTAGTGCATAAGCTGAGTGAGACGAACTTTTGCAAATTAGAAGCGAGTCTGTCCTCCGATCCGTGATTATAAGTGGAGTGAATGCGCAAGCGTGGCGCGTAAATATTTGTTTATTTTAGAGAACGGCGATGACCAGCGATGACTATTTTCGACGCCATTGTTTCAGAAACGTTTGTGATCTGTGGTACAGTGTTCAATTTTTGTATTTTTGCAATTATCCTAGTTTGAAAGACGATATCTGAATGTGATAAATCATTTAGCAGTTATCCCAGTTTGATTCACGATATCTCAATGTAATAAATGCATAACCTGTTGTTTGAGTTCATGAAGTGCGCATGCGTAGAAGTGAATCCGTGAATATTTTACTCGTTTGAATTAAGGTTCCATAGAGACCACTGAAGATGGCGCCACTCGATTTTCAAATGCGAGAGCACGCCACCACACAGCGTCTTTGGTCCCCAGGGGATAACTGCTAAATGATTTATCACATTGAGATATCGTGTTTCAAAGTAGGATATTTGCAAAAATACAAAAATAGAACACTGTACCACAGATCACAGTTGTTTTTGAAACATTGGCGTCAAAAATAGTCAACGCCATCACCGCTCCCAAAAGTAAATAAAGCAATACGCGCTTGCGCATTCTCATGAATTTCAATCCATGGATCGCACAATAGATAGATCCATTGCAAATTCGCTAGTATCTGAAAAATGATTAACAATTTTACGTAGGCGCACAAATGTTGCGCGCCTGCTACATCATTTTTAAAATTGTGTACACATATTATGTGTATTTTTGAATATGTTTCACTATATGAGTAAAAATCCGGAAATTTTGGAACGGATTAAACTCGTTACACTGTATTTTATGTTACTACTATTTGATGGGAAAATAAAAAAACTAAATATGACAAAATGTCTGGGCTTTGTATAGAATTCCAGCATTATTTACATTCCTGCCAACACATATAAAAAAATATTATTTGAGAACCGCTGTTATCAAGATGGCAGCTATTAATTTATGTCCATCTATTTGTGTAAATAACAATTGATTACATTCAAGTTACGTCAATTTGAAGTTGTAAAGACAACAACTCAGCCATCATTGCGGAATTAATTACTGCTCTCGTAGCCCTCAAAGTCCCACTGCCTACCTCCATCTCTTTTTTGATGGCTTCATGGTCCAACATTTTTATCTAACGTTTGCTCTGTATAATTGGTTGCAAGACTTCTCTCCTACTCTGTCTGTCTGGTTGCGGTCCTATCTGCAAGCACACCATCATCAATTCCGAGACTCAACCTAGTCCAGGTGTACAGAACAACAGAGTCCCGGGTTGGAAATAGTTTATATTACTTTCCTATGTTATATGTTACATTTAGTCCCTACACAAACACAAGCTAAGTGAGAAAGGTGGTGGAAGGAAGAAGAAGTTGTAAAGACAACTTTGCTTAATTATTGTAGATAGCATATCGAGACGGCCAGGATCAAAGCCTGTGAAACCATCAAGCTGCTTTATCCCCTGATGAACAGGAGGAGCCCTCTAAACATTCCTAGCAAGTTGGCCATTTACAAATCAATCATAAGATCCGGCATGACTTATGCGTCCCCTGCAAGGGGTCATGCTGCACGCACTCACTTGTACAAGCTGCAAGTGATTCAGAATAAAACATTGAGAACTATCTACAATGCTCCCTGGTTCATCAGGAACGTGCAGCTGCACGGGAGGCTAACATTCCTTTCCTCTCGGAATACATGAAGAAGTCAGCTGAGAAGGCTTTTGCCAGAGCTGAGATCCATCCAAATCCTCTCCTGCGAGCGGCCGTCGACTACGATCCGGGTGATCATCACACCCATAAAAGGCCGAGAATGGCTGCTACATGACAGCACTGACATTCCCACAAGACCGAACACTCGTCATGCATCACAACATGGGCCTTCAGGCCAATGCACCAAAATCATGAGCCGAAAGGCGGAGTTTTTACTCATCCACAAATTCACTGTCATGCATTCCTATGGATAAAAGGCAACGGAATCAATTCCCTACCTAGCCACATTGAGGAAAAAAAAAAAAATTATTGTAGATAGTAAATGATTCTACCGATATGTAACTGGCAAACGGCGTCGACTAGAAGCTCATTAATGGAAGAAGAAAAACAATTGAATGATGATTCTAGTTGAGTTAGAAGAAGTTCTTTATTTTGATTAGTCGCGCTGAAGAAGGAAGTTTGTGTTCCGAATGTAGACAGACAGTGGCTGGCTTATTGGCGCGCAATGCGGAAGCCAAATGAAGAAGGGGAAGGAAGAAGAAGAATGAAGATTCGCTAATGCAGGATAAAGCATATACATGTAGATGGCGCTTGGATTTGGTTGTCAATGGCTTCGATGTTCTGCATTTAGATGGCGCCCGCAGTATCACAATATTGTGACGAATGGGTCGAAACGCAACAGATTGTGACCCACTTTCGGCGGCAGGAATCCATGCACATTCCTGCACGTGTGATTCAGAACGGTGACGTCACGTGACGTACGAGCCACCTTCGATGCATAAACGGAGACGACGCTCACTGCTTCGTATATATGTGTGCGTCCTACACATGCACGAAAGTGCGTACGTGTGAGTCCGTGTGTATGTATGTGCGATTGAGTACATAGTGCGTACACTATACTATAATCACGCCGCGCGCCAATTATTTCCTTCCTAATAATCAGCACAACAGACACACAACCATATGATTTGTGCAAATCCAGAGACACACATTTTGCGTGCGCAAATCCCGAAATCGAGACAAACCGATTTATCCTCCCGCTTGCTACAAATTCATAGAGATTGATGATTCATTTATAATTTTATAGATTACAAACTATTTTCATCAATATTATCCCGTGCTTAATAAAATTAATGAATTATTATTAATCAGTTTATAAAATAATATTATCTTAATACTATTTATTTATAATGAAAAAGATAAGTTAATACGTTTTTAAATCTCTCATTGATTCGATTTCATTCTCATCGAATTGTAAATGCTACATGAACTAACTATGAACTTTTACTATAACTAATGATGCTTTTATTTATAAGGAGCAAATAAACTCTAAACGTCAATCCTTGTTGGTTTTCTTCGGTAAATCAACGTTGATTTATCATGGAATTTGTTAATTGTACGAATCATTTTTGTTAAACAGACAACAAAGTCTTTGTAATATTCGGAAAGAGTTATACGGTTTAGATTCTATAGATTGGACAATGGATTTTATTGTTGATTCTTTACTCATACTCACAAAAAAACGAAACAATGTTCCTTTCAAATAGTATGTTTTTAATATATTAGATACTTACATAATACTCTTTTATTAAAAGGAAACATATGTAAGTAAATTAAAGAATTCGAAATTTATTGACTGTGCAAATCGAATTATTTGTATTAAGTTTCTCAATACATTTAAGTATTTGAAAATACTCAATTTAGGATTTTGAATGTTACAGGTAATTACTGAAAAGTCTCAATTAAAAAAATAAATATGAAATATGTTGGTGAAATATAATATGTGCATGTGGATCATTCAAAATACGCCTGAATGAGGGATAATAAATTTGACTTTTTTATTCTTTCTTTTTCAATTAGTTCACTTGTAATTTGACTATACACTCATACTATATTCAATTATCTCAAATTTCTCTCAGCTTCATTATATGTGACTTTACAGAAACTAGCGGTTGCATAGAATTACTGTTACAATATATTAAATTTCATGTTTTAAAAAAATATATATGAAATACAATTTCTCGCTTCTAAAACTTCTAAAATGCAGATGTGCGATTTGAATTTAACATTATTATTTATTTTAAATATTTATCTTGTCTCCATTTGGAACAAAGTATCATCTTTTCGGATTAAAGTAAATATTACTTTGTTTAAAATTATTTAAACATTGAAATTTCTAATCATAGTATTTCATACTTTAAGTATGAACTTATATATAAATACAGCAACATCTCACATAGTGCGGTTTTGATCAGAAAATTTCAGACTAAATTTGAATTGAGCGAAACAAAAATAAATTCTAAAAAAATAGTACACACAATTATTTTTCATACATAAATGATCGTTTTTCCCTTTTATACAGTATTAATGCCTTAGATTAGTGCGCTTTCAAACAGTATGGGTTATTATCGATTTTTCGCATTTTGCGAACTATTTCTGTATTGAATAGTGTATAAAGATTTATCATTTTAAAACAAGCTATTATAGTTAAACACATTGATAAACTACAGTATACAAGTTAAATAAATCCCATATTTCCGCCGATGACGCCTCTATACAGATAATACTGATAAATGCATTACTTCTAAAAAACTACATTTAGCTTTGATAACGTTATTATTATTCCGACGATTTTAATTACTTATGTTAGACGAGTTTTAAGAAAAACACGATCATCTTAGTCAGACTATTATGAGTGCCAGAAGCAAAGATCAAATGCATTCAGGAAATAATTATTCTATTTATACTAACTTAAATATAATTAATGGACTTCTATCAATGTTATTAAACAAAAAGCAAAAGAAAATCAATTATATAACACAAGTAAATTAGTCTCTTAAAAATCGCCATAATAATATTGTTTGTATATAAACATGTAAACTAAGCCAATTTTAATTAAAATTGAACAATATATAATCATCTAATAAACTATATAAAAACCTTTTATGTGTTTTTCTTAAATTTGTAGTGAAATGGATTACTTCAAAATTATCTATTATTTTTGGATGCATAACATTTTACAGTAATATAAATTTGATCCCATTCTCTAATTAAACTTTGTATTAAAGTATTTTTGTTACACAAATTAAGTTTAGTATATTTGGATGAGCAATTATACTAAAAATAAGTTCTATTAACAATGTAATTGAATATAATTGAAAAATATAATTAAAAATCATTATAATTTTATGTCAGAATATATGATTGATGGTTTATTATTTTTTGAACAGATTAATTAATTGCCTCACGTTTTTTAATTATGTTTTTAAATATTACATATGCATAAACTAAAGTACATATATAAACAAATTAAGTTTTATAATACTTCGAAAATTTACATGATTTCATTTATAATAATAAACAACTTTATTATTATAAATATACAAGAATAAAGTTATAAATAAAAATGTAAATTTTTAATGTTGTAAATGTAGAAATTAACAACTCATTCAAGTTTTAAGCTAAGATTTCCAAAATATACAATTAATTTATTTAGAAAACAAAAACATAATTCAAATCAATTGATTTTAGTAATAAATATAGAAAATTCCATGACATTTATATAAATTGTAATTATAAATATATTTAATAAGTCTAAGTTTTTTTTAAGATGAAAGTAATAATTTGCAATATTTATTACTATTGTTTACGTTTATAAAGCAATCAATTTATTGCGTTTACTTGTATTTTCTAATATTATGTTATTGAATTTTTCTTGAAAATAATTGGAGTAAAAAAACTTGTATTACGATTTAAAAATAAATATGTTTATTTTTCTAAAACTTAATGTATTTATATTTTAATTGAAAATGTTAAGTAAAATGTTAACATAAAAGCTACTAAATAACATGAATTTATTTTGTTAGTTGATTTGAGAATTGTAGAGTAATACACTTTTTCCTGAATAAAATAAATGTTTTGACTTTAAGTTAATTAATATATAAATTATTGCATTTTAAAGATATATTAGATACTTAAAATTGTTTAAAATTTTTGCTACTGCACACGTGGATTTATTATTATATGAATAAGTTATTATTAAAGTTTGTAATAAATGTTGAATTTTAGAAAAAATCGAAGCCTGCTTAAAATTGATTTTATAAATGACTTTATAGAAGATTAAGTTTTGTAAAAATAAAATAGGAAGTCTACTTTTGATGTTGGTTGTTAAGTAAAAAACTTATATGTATAAATTCAAAGCAATGCAGATAGTGTACATTGTATCTAAAAGATTGACATATTTAGATTCTTATGGGATTTTATATGCGATTGATGTTAATATTTCAATTTTTGTAAAAGTATACTTGAAATTTGTATTACTTGAAGTGTACTTAAGTCGTACGTGAAATGGAATTATTATTCTATGAGCATATTTTGTGAAATTTAAGGAATAAGCGTATATGGCATTAATTATGATTGAGTTAGTGGTGATGGTGGTGGTAGTGATGTATGTGTGTACGTGTGTGTGTGTGGCACGGAATGGTAATTTGCGTTTGTATGTGTTTTCACTTTCGAGCGCTAAACGTGCACTGCTGTCAAGTGCGCATGTCACTGCTGAGCCACTACAAACTGCAGGAATAGAGCTTAGAATCTCAGTGTATCCTAGTTAACTTGGGCAAGCGCACGCCAGTGTGGTACCCAAGCGTGGCCAGAACCAAAAAGTACCAACCAACGAAATACAAGCTCGAGAGGAAAAAACGAATATACATATAGATATATATTCAAAAACGCCTCTGCTCACTTTCGATTTTATTTGAGCGCGAGACGCGACGCCGCTCGCATCGCCAACTTCTGAAAGAAAAGAAATTCAAAAGACGCGCGCGACCTGCATTCGGCAACAACAACCAACAACATCATCAACCATCGATTGATTGAGATTGATCCATTCAGCTTTACACACCTCCGGGAGTTACATTAACAAACAAACAAAAAAAAACACACATCACAATTTTATTTAAAATTGATGGACTAGCAAACTGTGGATTTTTTTTAATTGCTGCTCTTGCACCTGGATTCTCTTGCAAACTAGACTTTTCGAACAAAATATATTTTCGTTGAATAATGTATTTTTTAAAAGTTTGTTCTGAACGGAATAGAAAATTGGAAAGTGCGTGTGCGTGAGCCGGGCTCAATTAAATTAAAAATTTCGGCGGAGGTGAAAGTGGACCAAAGTGAAAGTTTTTTTTTACAACATCATCATCATTTTTTTTTCGTATAAATAATTTTACATTGTTTCGGAGATTTTCGCCCGTTTTCTGAATCGTCGAAGAATTGTTGTATAATATCTACAGTGTGTTCCAACAAAAATATGGATTCTCCCCAAATGTACGATAACCAGCAGCAACACCAAACATCGCAATCGATGAATAATAACGAGCCCAAGAAAACCGTTATCATGAACAACAATAATCTTACGACGCTGAACAACAATACAGGAAATACTAAGCAGACGACGGCGCTGCTGAAGCAGCACCACCTGCAGCAGTACCAGCATGGAGAGCTTAGTGACCTGAATACCCCGGAGATCTCGCTGGACCTGCAGAACCTGATCGACGACTCGCACTTTAGCGATGGACTGTTCAACGATATCCTGCAGAATCAGGGCAAACATCTGCAGAGTTTGCATCCCAGGCAGCAGCAGCAGGTGATGGGCAATGTGCAGGGTACGAACTACCCGAGGACCACTTTGGCTTACATGCCACAGCCCGTGCACAGCGGCGCCACCTATTCCGGAAACCAGAACTCGAACAGCGACTCGAACAGCTCGGTTGGAAGCGACGTTCCCAGCATCAAGGAGGAGCCCATCGATCCCCAGGAGTTCCGCAGGCAGTGCACCAACGCGATGCTCCCCAACAGCTACCTGCAGAATGCAAACTACCCCAACTCGAATGGCGCTACCTTCACCAACCTCACGCCTACCTCCGTCCTGCAACATCAGCAGATGAACATGTCCGCGATGAAGAAGAACGCGGCTATGTTGAATCATCATCATGTTGCGAGGAAAACCATGAAACCCTGCGACAAGAACAGCGATGAGTACAGGAGGCGGCGTGAGCGCAACAACATCGCCGTCAGGAAGAGCAGGGAGAAGGCGAAAGTTCGCACAAGGGAAACCGAGGAGAAGGTTAAGCTACTGCTCAAGGAGAACGAGCGTCTCCAGAAGCGGATAGAACTCCTCATGGAGGAGCTGAACGTACTTAGGAACCTCTTCTCGAATGTCGGCGTCCTCCCCGAGCACGTCCATCGAGAGATCAACAAACACTTGGACGCCTTCCAACCCCAGCAGCATATGTAAGACTCATAACAAAAAAAAACCTAAAAACCCCAAACTATATATATTTTTTTCTTCTCCAACAGGTCTGAGGATAGACAGAGAATAATGGACATCGTGCACGATTACGGACCTTAGTCTACACGACCTAAACAAAGTAACAATTACAAAAAAAAACAAAACTCAGTGTTTAATATATAAATAACTTAAAGATAAATTTTCATTCTCTTAGTTTGTACAACAAATTAATATAATTAATATATTTAAAAAGAAAGAAATATTAAGTAAATAAAACGAATCGAGAGCTTTAATATACAAAAAAAATAGAAACAATGCGCGCGCGTTAAATGAAATATCGGAACAATCAAAGTGGCCTTACTTACAAAAAACCGGAAAGTTTTCTTAAACCTTTAATTCTTCATTTTCGTTTATTATCATAGATCTCCTTATATAGAAAAAAAAAGAAAAGCATTGCGGATTTTACAAATCCACAGTTACGTGAACGAGAGAGAGAGATATTATTTATTTTATAGATCGTTTTTTTTTAATTAATTATTTTTTTTGCGTCTTTGTTGTTCTATATTTTTTATTTTAACTTTAAAATATTATATATATTTTTTTGTTTAATTTTTTTTGACGGGTATTAAAAATACAATTTAGAATTTATTCCGTTCGACACTTGTGATGATTTATTGTTTTTTTAAAAACACGTACACGAAGCTGAAAGAGATGGACTGACCAGAGGCGATTTCTTCAACAATCCTAACGAAGATGAGAGGAAATTCGGTAAAATAGTACAACGGTCGATGTATTTTGTTTTTTTTTTGTTTGCTCGATCACTATGGACATTTGAGTATTATTTACACATTGATGAAGGTGATCGGTTTATTGTTTGCATTTGGCTGCAGTGACTCTGGTCGGGGTGTTTTATTGGCTTCGTTAATATTTTTTTTTGTGGTAAATCTAATTTAATGAAAGCATACTTGGATTTCTTCTACATTATATTTTGTAGACATAAAGTACCTTTGTGAAAGGATTTATGTCCGTTGTTGTAACTTATATAGTTTTTATTTTGTATAGCTAAGCTAAATAATTATTATGTATATGTATGTATATTGTATTATATATTTTATTATTATTATATATATTTTTTTTGTTTTTTTTTCTTCCAAAGAGAGTACATTTATATTTATAAATGTGAAACAAAATAAAACGAAGTGTCTAAAAAAAAATGTTTAATGTTTAAGTTTTACCTAAGGTGTACCAACTTTTTTTTTTCTTCTACAACTACTTCGAACTACAGATGGGCAAGGCCGAGTACCAGACAAGAGGATAAACTACTTCAAAAGCAGTTGATTTTTCTTTGTTTTTATTTTTTATTTAATAAATTTTTCTTTTGAAAATACATCATCATTTCCATTCTTCATCCCATCACCAACATTCAACAGATTTCTAATTATAAATCTAGAAATTTTCATGTTTCATGAATCACATAATCATTATTCATTGAAGGATGTGAAAATAATTTCTAAATATTTTCTAAAACTTCAAGGACATTACATTTTATTTAGTTTTCGATGTGAAACTTTCCTTTTTCACAACGCAACATAAATTTAATCATTTTTTTAAATATTCTTCAGTTTTTAAATAACTTTTATTTAGTTTCATTTTTTTTTAAATATATAATTTAACTAAGTGAAATAATAAAGAAATACCATACCATCAATAAAATAAATATAATCATTATAAATTTGTCTAATAAATAAATACTTTTTTTTATTTAAAAAAGTGATTGAAGAAACTAAATTCAAGATGAAACACTAAATTAAGTGCCGAAGGTTAACAAAATTCTTGTGATCTTTTGACCTTTGATATCTTTACAATTTGACTCGACTAGCAAATATCAACAATATTATATACACTTAATATAAATATATAAAACAATTATTTCTCAGTTAATTACATTTAACTTTAGTCATGGTAACTATTTATATTTTATCGTTCTAATTATTTTTTTGAAGAACAATATTTGTCTATACTATATATAGATTCTATAGTGACAATTATTTAAAAAATATATTAAAAGTTTGCTAAATGATATAAACATATTTGGGAACCATATTTTCAAAATATTTATACTTTTATGTGATATACTTTATAACTATATTATTCTGAATGAAATCGGACATATAACAATAATTCCAATATAGTAATAATTAAAATACGATTTAAAAATAATATTTAAATTTATAATTCTTGATTTGTTGACAGGAAAACCATTCACAAAACTCTTTTATTATATTCAAATAGAAATATTAAATAATGTATAGATTGTTTTTTTGCTATTTAGTATTTTATGTATACTTCGTTAAGCGAAACTTCGTTCTCAGACATAAAAATGCTATGGTTAGATTGGGGATTATTTTCTTCGTAAAAAAACATTTGGATTTATTCTATTTATCATTGATCGCTTAATAAATTAACATTTTAATGTTATTGCACCAAAAATTTAGGTTTTTAAAATTTTTTTTTCGGCAGGAACTTTTTAAATTTTGTCTTCAATTACTTTGTTATTCTTGCTGATAAATCTTCCACTGAAAACTATCATCTTCTACAGTCAATAAATTTCAAACATCGTCATTATCGAAATTTTTTAGTACTTTTGACTATATTTTGCTTAAAATTACGGATTTTGTTTCATTATCAGCGACAATCAGGTAACTGCGACAAAATGATGGTCGGCTTTTTGATCCAAACTATTCCAAATACAATACCAGTAGTTATATAGTGAAGAACGGTCTAATACTTAAGATAGTTAATTATAATTAAGTCTTAATTACTTTAGATCTTCTACTAATTTGAAATAATATATAGAAACATTACTGAATTTGATATAAAATTGAAACTGATTGAATAAATGAAACTATATTGACATATGTGATCTATACTATCGTTATTATCGATTTTTCTCCGCATTCCATGATTCTGTTACAGGTTATTAAAGTAAATGTAGGTGTGGCTCGTTATTCAGATGATTCAAAATGTAAATATGTAATGTTTTATTTGGAGGAAACGCATCGATAGTGAAACGTTATCGATTTCGATCAAAAAAAATCTATCGGAAAGAGAAAAGTAATCGAACTTTATGAATGAGAGAGGGAGAAAAAAGACTTATCCTAATTGCATACGGCAGATTCGCGGAATTGATAATAAGCGAATTGTGTTGAATAATGCTCCAAAGGTAGTGTAAATCATTTGATTTGAATCATTTATTTGTAATTTTCGTACAACGAAATATCATTAAAATTTCAACGATGCGGTACCTTTGATATTTATTTTATTGTTGCCACATATCATTTCTCATTAGTTTTTCCGCGCTAATTTAAAATATTTCATTTTTTCTTGGGAGAAATGTTAATAAATACAATTCTAGGATTTATAATTAATCGTATTTTAGTCACATTTAACGATAATCATAATTATATTTTAAAAAAATTATTCAATTTATAATTATATCAAGTGGATGTAGTGTCTATGATACAGATTTTTTTAAATGTAGATTCTTCGATAGATTAGATAATTAATAGTCAATGAATAGGTGCTCCTTATTTAAAAAAAAATTATAGATTTGGGGAATTTAGTATCATAAGTGACGTTCAGATAACATTTTTTGCATTTTTTTTTAAATAATTTTTATATAAAATATTGGACGACTAATAGCCGAATGGTTAAGTCGCCAGTTCGAATCCTGGTCAAAGCCAGGCCCTATTGTGAGCCCTCTCGGTGCTTGCAGCAATAGGGCCATCGTTCATCACAGATAGACTTGGAAATGAATAAGGTTCAGCATATGGACCTTCAGCCAAGTCGATGAACAATGAGAGTGTTAAGGATAGCAGCAAATCCACAGTGAAAGGAAATAGTGGAATCGCAGAGCATCAATATACTACTGAAGTTAACCTACAAGACGACAGCCAATCAAGAAATCTAACCATCATAATGGTAAACTATCCACCGGGAAAGATTACATACCTAATGTCAACCGCGATCATAAATTTATTCAATGTTCACATTGATGTTAATATAAAATATTGATATAAGTATTCACTTGTTTTACGCAAAAAAAATAAAGAAGACGTAAAAATATTGACTCGCTTAACTATACAAGTATATTCAAAAATACACATAATATATGTAGATGTAGCAGGAGTGTAATCCGGGACTTCTTTTCTCATCGTCTCTCGTTATGCGAAACGTCTCTCTTTATGCGAGGTGCACGTTAAACGAGGTTCCACTGTATAGCAATATCTCGCCTTTTGCGGTTTTGATCACTTTAGTTTAAAAAAAAAATATTTTTTTTAAGTTTTTTTTTATTTGCATATGTGTAATGTTTTACCAGAAATTTGTACGAAAGTTCTCAAATTATTATATTATTATATTCTAAATTTATATATTTTTCATAATAATGTTAACTTAATCCATCTTCTATTGATTAATTAGCGTTGTCATGTTTGTTAAACAATATTTAAAAATCTAAGACAATAACAATTTAAAAAAGAGGAAAAAAGGATTATACATACTTTACATAATTTATTAAAGAAATCATTAATGTATACATCTTCTTTTAAGTGATGTAAGCATATAAGTTTTTATATATTAAGACTAACACTGTCCACGTGTCAAAGTTAAATTTTATTGTAAAATTAATTTATTTTTTCTAATTTATCATTTTTTTTTTTCAAGATATTCATATTGTTTTTAAAATAGATTATTGTATTTGATATTATTGGGAGTCCTCAAAAATAATATGCTTAGGGTCTCAACCTATATAAAGAGACTTGACTTTTTTATGTACTATTGTTTTAGATAAATTCTAAAAAAAAATAGTTTAATTTGCTGCATAAAAATTTAGTTTGTTTTAAAATTTTCAATCCAGAAACCAAATTATATCATTATTTAATTATTCAATGTTAATTTCTTATAAAACCCATATTGTTTTTTATCATTAGTAATAAATTTGCTTCACTGAGGTCAAAGGTTATAATTATTATATAAATGAGATGTTATTTATTTGTGAATATAATCTCGTTTTGACAATTGTATAATAGAATAATTGTAATTTATTGATAACTTATGGTCAATAGTTTTTTTTTCTGTTTCTTGATTATTATAATAATTTTTATTTTAAATATGTAGATAATGCAACTTAATTTTAGTAAATCTAGATCAATTTCGTTACATATAATAAAACTGATTTAGATACACAATTTGGATGCACTTGTATTTCTATTATTCTATCTCCATCCGACATACATAAACCAGAATAAACCTATCTTTATCCAATTGGAATCAAACTGGCCGGTGACCAAATATCTCTGCCAAAATCCAGTTTTCGTTTCCTGCATCGAACACGTTTATTTTCAAGTTTGCAACCTAGAGCGAAAATATTTCCGCGATCGCATTATTCGCGCGGACCGAAGCGAAAAGAGACAACGAAAACTGAAAACTGCAATAAAAGCAGAAACGAAACAATACGAATACAATTGCAACGAAAAAATAA